TGGCCGTGTAGAACCCTCCAGCCCCAGCAACGGCCAGGTACAGCAGTCTCCGGGCGTACTTGACAGACCTCATTGTGGACTTAAGAACTCTGTGGCCTCATCAGCCTGGCAAAGGGAGGGGGAGAAAAAACAGAGAGAGAGGAGATGCACGTTAGTTGGGGGGTTTTTAAGTCTTTTTTTTTTTGGTGTGGGGTGTGGGGGGGAGTTTTACCAAACGGCACTTGCAACACACAATAAGGTTTATGTAAATTATAATGTACTTAAGATTAGGTGTTACAAGAGAGGGTTTGTTGTTTATTTTAAGTAAAAGTTTTACGGCACTTGCAACACAACAAGGTCATATGATATAAGTGCCCAAGAATAGATTTTATGTGTTACAAGAGAGTAAAATCACATCATTACATTTTTTTAAAAGGAGAGATAAGGACGATAGATGTTTGATAGATTGAAGAGAAGGAGCAAAAATCTGGGAACGAGAGGACGAAACACATTTTTATAACTGTAATTTAGTAACACCATTGACGCAGGTGTTGGTAAACTCAGCTAAAAACAAGCTTTTAGTTTTAGTTTTAGTAGAGGTTTTTCGGCGCTCGCAACTGCATAAAGTCATATGAGTGCCAGAAAATTAGAGGTGTTACAAGAGAGTAACAAACATTTAAAAGAAGGACGAGAGATTTAAAAGGATGATAGATGTTTGATAGTAGGAAAGAAGAAGCAAACCACACCACAGCACCCGCCAACCACCCACACAAACAAACGTTGTCCTTCCGCTGTAAACAGCTGGTACAAACAGCTGCTGTGGTCAGCATAAAATGTAAATGATGAATGTGCGAATCGGTTACAGATGAAATGTTATACAGTGTGCCCTTGCTTGTCATCTGATCAAGAGGAAGCACCTACGTTTACTTTACTACACTTTGTTAAGAGTAAGCATTGGGACGCACCGATCGATGTGGTAATGGTCATTCAGTGCAAGTGAACAGGGAAAAAAGAGTAAGAGACAGAGACAAAGAGAGCTAGAGAGAGAGAGGGGGGGGGACGGAGAGGGAGAGGGAGAGAGAGAGAGAGAGAGGGAGAGAGAGAGAGGGAGAGAGAGAGAGAGAGAGAGAGGGGGGGGGAGAGAGAGAGGGAGAGAGAGAGGGAGAGAGACAGACAGAGAGACAGAGAGAGAGAGAGAGAGAGAGAGAGAGAGAGAGAGAGAGAGAGAGAGAGAGAGAGAAAGAGACAGACTGACAGAAAGGCAGACAGACAGACAGACAGGCAGACAGAAGGCAGGCAGGCAGGCAGGCAGACAGACAGACAGAAAGACAGACAGACAGACAGAATGATAGACAGACAGACAGACAGGCAGACAGACAGACAGACAGACAGGCAGACAGACAGACAGACAGACAGACAGACAGACAGACAGACAGACTGACAGACAGACAGATAGACAGACAGACAGACAGACAGACAGACAGACAGACAGACAGACAGACAGACAGAGACAGACAGAGACAGACAGACGTGGGAACGTGAACAATCAAGACGCAACAGTCATGTCCTCAAACTCAAGCCACCCACAATGTTGCCAGATCACAATGACCTGGGCGTCTTTTGCTCACCTCTCAACAATGAATCATGTAGAAGTACAGTGCAAGTTTTACGCCCTGATCAGCACGACACTATAGAATTATTTAACCCTATCCGTACGCCCTGGGGTCATTTTGTACCAGCCCTGGGGTTGTATTCTTCACATTTTAAAATACTTCTAGTACGAAAGTCTCTTTGAAACTTTCCGTATTCCTCATAAAAATCATTTTGATGGACTGCTATGCAAAGCGTACAGATCGGATTAACGAGTAAATTTCCTGTTTGGAAAGTGGTGGCACAGAGTTCCCCCACGTCGTATGGATACGATAGTAAAACACGACGTACGGATAGGGTTAAGTGGTGGCACAGAGTTCCCCCACGTCGTATGGATACGATAGTAAAACACGACGTACGGATAGGCCTAAGAGGTGGGACCTCCAAATTTAACATTCGTCTCCAAAAGGAGCGAGCCAAAAGGGTTGTTTAGTTTTAGTAAGCGTTTTACGGCACTTGCAACACAATAAAGTCATATAACTGCCGAAGAATAGGTATGTGTGTTACAAGAGAGTAAAAAACGTAAAAAAGAAGAAAGGGGGGGGGGGGGGGGGACAATAGAAGTTTGATGATAGCAAAGAAGAAGCAAACCACACCAGAGCACCCGCCAACCACCCACCTGAGCTAACGGAGCCGGTTTCAGAGGAGTAATGTATTCATG